GCTCAATCATAGCGATGTCGTGTTTCAAAGTGATCAACCGTTTGCATTCGCCTACTAGAGACTTCAATTTCAAATCGGGCTCTTGATCCAACTTATCAAGCAGCTGATTGCGGATTTTCGCGTCGCGTGGGGACTAAATCACTAACAAATATGAGCTACTTAAACTGGTCATCCATTAAAGTGCGTAACTTGAAACGTTCACATTCACGGTTAACCATGTCTGCTAGTGCCCCATAATCGTCAGTATCTCGCTTAACAATTTTCAGACATTGGTAGCGTATACTAAACAATGGCATTGATTTACCAAAAATTTCTTCGAGTATTGCCACTGTTTCGTTCAAGAGGATGTCCTTCGGCTCTTTGGGCAGGATGGGTTCGACGGATCTTGAATGTTCATTGGTACTGAGCTTGCGGAGCAAAAGACGCACTTTCCATGAATTATCCTGACTGAAATCCATCCGGAACATGTTCTCCCAGCGTTTGAACTACGCCTCAAAAGTGCAGTCGGAATCAACATTATAATGCGATTCAGTGGTTGAATTCGTAAGATCAAGTGAACTAGCCTGTGTGTCCCGCGTGGCTGCTCCATTTGACCGTACCTACAGGCACTGCGTCAAACTTTCAATCAGTTTCATCGGTGCTTCCATCTGGGATTGTTGCTGAAGAGGCAGTTTTTTGAAAATGTTTAGCAACAAAGTTCGTCACATTTTCGCGTTTGTCCATCGCCATCGTTAGATCAAGTTTTCTAGCTATTCCGAATTAAACACCTAAAATTCTCCGCAAGACTTCTAGCTCAGCCGAAGAAAAAGAAAAAAAGAAGAAAAAGTCCAACGCGACCTCGATCGCGATAAACGTGTTGACAAGAACGCCGCCAAACGTAGCCAAAACTTCGCTAAAACGCTGTACAACTGCGCCAGACCTTTGCCAAATTTATAGATAGCTCAATGGTCTTCAACTTCTAGAAAACGAAAGTAGACTGGTAAAATTAGCCATTTCCTTGCCACAATTCCGTACGTTGGCAATCACGTGGAGGAATGGAAGGTTTCGGAACCCTCGAGATCAGTGCACAATCGAAATTAAACAATTAATTGCTAAAATAATGGGTTTTCCTTAATGTTTTTACCTTATCCAGGATAGGGCCACTCTAGAGATGTTATTCAGGGTTGATTGTTCCGCCGCTCCATTGTCAAAAAGCATAATTGTCAAGCATAATCAAGATCAACTAACCTTTCACCATGCAGGACGTCAACGCCTGTGTCGTGAGCTTCCGCAAGGAATCACTCCATGATGGAATCTACGACGAAATTGAAAAAATGGAGCAAGTGGTCAATCCTGACGAACGCCGCTTGTTGTCGGAAAGCTAACCGACAGGTCGTCGTAGACCCTGATGCGGCCTTTGGTGTTCGAGTATAGAGCACGTAAAATGTTCACATATTTTGTGGGAACACCTTCCCGCGCAAGTATATCGAACAGGATCGATCAATCGACTGAATCGAACGCATTCTTGAAATCGAGGAACACAGCTATTATCGGTCTGCGGTATGCGTGACGCTGCTCTAGCACCAGCCGCATAGTGAATATGTGGTCTATACAGCCCCGTCCTGGGCGGAACCCTGCCTGCTCTTCCCTAATCCGAGATTCCCGTTCCATAGTGAGTCGACGAACGAAAATCGAGGCCAGTAATTTTGTCACAACTGACGTTAGGCTAATACCCCTATGGTTAGCATAGACTGTTCGATTGCCCTTCTTGTATGCACCACTGTAATCGATTCACTCCAGCTAGCCAGAACAGTTTCCTTCCATACATCTCCGACCAGGGAGGTCAGTGCTTTGCAGAGAACCTTACCTCCATCCTTACATAGTGCAGGTGTGAAGGAATCTGGGCGAGCAGCGCCAGCCTTTAGCCAAGATGTCTAGTCCACAAAGCAGTAAGGCGAGATTAGGTGCTCGCACCCGTTTGGAGCCGGTAATCATATAATGAGTTCATACGCTTTTCGGATGATTCTAGGCCATATCATGGGCCAAGTATTTCCGTCGACATTAACTTAGTGACGAGTCGCATCCATCACGTCGCCGTGCTTTTTTGCAGCTTGTGTGGCTTTTATAGGGAGAACGCTTACCAGGCAAGAACCTACCATGTCATCTAGCACCGCTGCTGACTTGTCCACAATTACTCATTCATTTCAATGCGAAGTATACGAGGCTTATTCGTAGTTACAGCCACAAGGTAGGCATCTCCCATTTTGCAACTTGGGGGTGCGCCCGCTAGTCTACAACTCGGCTACGACTAAGCAGCCACCATTGGTGCACAATGTTTATTGTGGCGAACTAGTATGTTGGTGTGGGAATAGTGGTGGAGATTTTTACTAGCTGGTAATTAACGTTTTCAAACGATATAGATAACACAACACACAAGAGCGACCAACCAAATCAAAGACAACAGTCTGTGTCTTGTGATACCTGCATTCATGGAGCTGTTCAATCTCTCGACGAGATGTCGCCTATGTCTCCTCAGCTGGGAATTATTCCCGTTTAGCCCTCACATACTAGACTTCTCCGGTACAGTGAGTCGCTACAACAACAATACGACTAACACCTTACTACTTCTCATACCCTGTCCTCTGCTTTTCTTTAACGACAGACAGTGATCGATATGCACGAGTTTGCGTGTGCGTCAACTTGCAAATGTTTTGTCGATGCTATCAGGCAGTTCAAGCAAGTTCGCTCCACCACCGTTTTTCCGAAATGCTGAAGCGATGTCCTCGGTTTCAGATCTCGTGCTTCTAGTGAACGATGCTAGCCCACATCGCAATACTTTCAGGCTATGCGCCGAGATGTCAGTTATGCAAGTGGGTTCAGATAATTCACCAAGCTGTGAGGCTCCGTTCTCCAACGTACAACACTCCGTGATCAAGTCAACTAGTGCCAGCATAGATCAGTTGTCTGGTATTGCTTCGCTCGCTAGCAGCCTAGTGGTAACGAGCTTGTCTCGTAATCTTACGGCGCGGGTTCGTATCCGCGTATGGGTGGGCGTCCTCGCGGCATGCTCAGCCCGCGTGCGACTAGTGGTGGTCGCACAGCAGCGAAGCGCCGTTTCGACGTACAGCTGACTCACTCTCACTCACTAGCAGCCGTGTTTCGGACGTGTTAGAGATGCGCTCGACCAAATCTTACGACCTTGGTATTCTCTTGGTCACGAACATTAGTGATAACTCATCTCTTCGGTTAAGTGTCAAGGCTCTTCATCCTAGAACTCATTTTGCAACCGCACCTTTTGACGAGCTTCAGTCAACTGAATCCTCTCTCGTCAACGATTACTTACTTTTCTAATGTCCAGATGTGGCGGTGCGGGAGCCGGTATTGATGTGTGATCAATGAAGAAAGTAACGTCAGCGCAGTATAACACGTGGGTAAATGGAACTGTCGATTTCCTTCCTAATGACCACCTAGGTCGCTTGGGTGACCTGAATCACACCGATTCTCCCCTGCACCCGTTCTAGGTCGCGGTGTACAAACGGGACACTGCGTTTAGCGTTTAGCATTTTCCTTTGTGGTACTCAATCCTCAGCAACTACGCAATGTTTACTGGCCGTTGTTTTACTTGTCACTGCGACCATGCCATGTGTGTGAATTTTGCTATCGCTGACTGTGACCCTGCCATTTCATCATCATCATCATTACACATGCTGGTTAGCCAAACACCTTCATGGTGCGTGCTGGGTGGTTCGCATTTACCCCGTTCCAGCAAATAGTTCGACAGCAATGTTCCAGGACATGGTGGGTTTTCGCCTGCTAAGTGTTCGCCTATAAAAAGCCACAAATGCACATTTACCAACACTGACGTGGCGGATGTGACTCGCCACTAACAAAAGTCACTGCCTATTACCTATCCGGATGAACTAACCCAATCCACGGACGTGGGTCATCCAATACAAAGATTTCCTTTCACTCTTTCTCACGCCTGACCGAAATCAATCACAAATACGGCATCACATTCACAAATTCGAGCGACACAACCACACTCGTTCTTACCTACATACATTCATACACACTTAACACATGGATCAATTTGTTACTTTTAAACTTGTGCCGCTTTGACATTCGCCAGTCTTTGTTATATCACCATGATCATGCCTATTTAGGCGTGTCCCGCCCTGTCGAGAATAAAACGTTTATTTATTTATAAGCTGAAAGTGAGAAACACTTCAACTGTTGTGCCGCAATACGTAAAGATAAGATAAACGCAAAAGCAAGGTGCTGAAAAATATAAGTTGTTAAGAAATAGGCGACTGGCTACTTAGTACTATATTATACGTCAAGAGGGAGATCGAGGTTGCAGGGGGAAGATAAGCGGGATGGGGAGGGACAAAGAAACTCGCAACACAAACGCCAAGGTGGTCGGCTCCTTGCCATGCCAACTAGTGTATCTAACCAAAGGTGTTCATCCTCCTTCAGAACCCAGCCCGGTATTCGGAAGGCAGCAAGCGACCAACTCATCGCTTGGCCACCATTCCTCTTCTTCCATCTAGACCCCGGGCGCGCAAACAGTGCACGTCACGCGAGTCGGTGGGCTGGCATGCGCAACACGTGGCCTAGCCATCGGAGCCTGGTGCGTGATATAATGGTGCCGAGCGGTTCACTCACTCTTTCTACATCAAATACACGACGCCGAACACATTTATTGCTCACACGGAGCTCCTAACAGATATGAACTAAGCTGCGAAGGCAGCGACGATCGAAATTTAGTAGCCACTTTATGTCTGTCGACTTGATGGGCCAGATTTCACAACCATATAGGAGAGTTGTACAGACGGCTGCATTGTAAACTCTTCCCTACCCTACTATTCTTTGCGTTCTTTGTCTTTATCTTCCGATTCTCCAACTCTTCGACGTCGTACGCTGCTATTCTCTTTACATATCGGTACTTCGCCTTAAACAACTTGTGTGTACTGGATCTCTCACGTTTCCGATAACAAGTGGTATGTTCCTCTTGGCTTCAGGGTTTTCTTTACAAACGTACCTGCAAACCGTTGAATAAGGAATGGAAGACCAAGAAGTACGTTACACTGACAGACGATGCTCGTCTTACCTATCATCCGAGTATTCACGTAAGTCGGATTTTCGAGTACCTTTCTTCTTATAACATCAATTCCTACAGTTGTATAAACACTTCTGAGACCAGTTGTAACTTTTTCTTACTGACTTACTTTCACACTATCTCTCCAAACTTTTCGGTCATTCTGCCGTTTCCATCATTTTGTTTCCTTATGAAACGCCACTATGTTTTGACTGCGTTTACCCGTTTGTTTTTTTTTAAACTGACGCAATAGTATGGTCTTCACACAACAAGATATCCTCTTGCGATGCATAACCGTTTCGAAGCTGCATGACCTGGCGACAACAAAGTACCCAATTATCTTGGTACATACTCGTGACACTGATCTGTGAAATACATGCCATTCCTTTCTGCAATCAAGACATACCATAACAAAGAATACTAACCTGAATTTATATTTCCTACTGAAGTCCCATTGATAGTTGATGCATGGTTGCTGCCATTAATTCACCCTCATATCTAACTATTCCGTTTTCATTTTGCTTCTACTGCGCATCTGGAAACCACTCGATATTACTTCCCGGATGCATTGTGCAATTAGGATGTAACTCGTTCCAAGATCTTTCAGAACTTTTTGACAAATGTCTTTTTGATGACGTTTTTCTTCCGAAGATGTCCGCTATACGTCTATAGAAGATATTTCGATTCCGCCTCAAACAATCGATATGAGCAGCTTTTAGTTTGTTAAGTCGGCAGCTATTCTTGGGAATGACCGGTTTTTTCACCTCATGAAATGCTTTACCATTGAAAATATGGGCGGCACCGACCGATTTGTGTTTGGAGTTTTTGTCCATTCTTATAAATCTCAACACTATCTCCCACTGTAACCAGACAACCATCACACATCGGCGAAAGCACCGAATTGTCGCCTCTTCCTTTCCAAAACTTTAAAATGCGCTCACACTGCACCACGAAGCATTGCAGTAGCTTACATGATTGTACTTATTCGACCATACTGAAGGCGATTTGCATCGTACTCGGAGAATTTTTATGTATTTGCTTATTTTAACCTCTTCCCCTACCTTTATAAATTTTTACACTATTCGACCTTGCTTTTATCACTGAATTTCTTAAGGACTACATGGACAACACACATGGGAAGGAAATCGATCTGAGTCGGACGACAGTGAAGATACCGGGTGTTCCTTTCCGCCAAGTCGGTGGACGCATTACAAGCAACGGACTACTCCGAAGTAATTTAATCGAAATCAGTTCAGGTGAGCCTTTTGCACTCTAGTGCTCTTTTGGGATGCGTTCGGGCGCCCAATTGTTGAAGCATTTCAATTCTTAAACGAAAGTAGAGACAGACTATGAGAAGCCCATACTTGCCCCAAGGCAGGACCGTAGCGTTAAGGTTCACAAGTCTGCCTTGTAACCTGAGCGCACGGGTTCGAGCCTGCGTAGAGACCGGACGATCGTCAGTACTGCGTACCGACGTGCGTACTGCGTGCCTCTATTTGCCCCATGCTACTCGCAAACCTATGGAGCTCCACACGTCAGAATACTTAATTCGGGAGTCTAACTAATGTCTTTGGAATGACCTGTTCGTGCTCTTCTCGCATTTTCGTGATTCGCGCTTCGGATTCGCTTGGTCTACGTTTCTTTGCCCGTTTATTCAGTATTCCACCCGCCGTATTTCTCTGCAGTGCAGATGAAGCTGCACCTCAGTTGTGTATTTTTATTCTTTCAGATAGGTCAAATGCGGGAGGTAACAGAACTGGGTCCCCAGACCTTATCACTGCATTTGCCGACACTACGGCCTCTGGTATGTCATCCATGAAGCTAGTATATTTGCAGCATATCTTAATTCATCTCGTAATCACCAGTTGTAACACACTTCAACTCATTTATATACCAATATTCCCCTTCATTTCCGTATTTTAGTATCCACGACGGAAATAACTCGTGGATTGACTGTTCCGTCCTTCCTGATGTTTGACTCCAGTGCTAATGATTACACTTGTACCTGATGCTTCATCTTTGAATGGGATTCACACTGCGTTCAACTTAACATTTCATATATTAAAATGTGCCTCTTCAGTTAGTCTGTTATCCAGCCTATTTTCTTTTCAAGAACGCAAATCATTTACATATAATTTACTTTACTGTGAGCTGAAAGTGTGCGTACTTGCACGTTTCATTGGGCTGCATCGTACAGCATGTTTTTCTTAGGTCATCTCGAATCGCTTCAACCACTTAGCGCTATGGTCGTGCATGTGGTAGACTCAAACCCATCATCCATCTCCACAGAGGCAACTCAGCGATCCATAGTCCCTCTTTAGAAAATTAAGTTTCGGGGGTAGCAGCCACGGGTTATCAGTCCGGTTCGATAGACGCGCAATGGTAACGCCACGTGTTATCTTCGGAAGTGAGAGAACACGGACTGTCCCTGCTTCGCTGCCGCTTATCTTTTGTCCAACATCCGACCAATAGGACTCAAATATACCAAAATCTGCGTTCTTACAGGCTACCCCGAAGCGCACCCAGCCCATACGCAACGGATGGTGGTAGTTTGACGACGAAGCGTCGGTCCGGTGTGTCGGTCCGCTGTTGATGCCTTTCGTTTATCCTTATTAAACCTGACATAACGCCTATAGTCGACTTTGACCACTAGCGTGTAATCCGGTACGGTCAAAAGGCCTGCGTGATTTATTCACAGGCAACCAAAGCTGCGTGTAACCGATCTCGACCCGCTGGATTCTGCGGTCATACTTTCGAGTATAGTCTGCTGTCCACCATTTTATGAATCAAACCATTGAGACGAAAGATTCGACCACAGTCTCTCAAGTGAAAATCCATCCGCTTCACTGCCTTGCGTCGGTAGTACGCCTATCTCCAGTTTCGTTTCTACTACATTCGACTTTTCGCTCAGATTTTGCAGCAAATAAATAATCCCCACTTTCGCAACTCGGGTTTCAAGCCAACTGTCTCCTCCTGGCACGCAGCATTTCTATGTTCGCACACTACATTAGATGCGTCGTCAGAGGGTGCTCATTCTTACACTCTTGGAGTTTGTGTGTATTGTGGCTGGGAAACGCATTTCTTTACGATCCATCGACTATTTATATTGGGTTATGCACACAATGTTCACATCTGTGATGACATTCAGATTATATTTCAGGACATTCGCAGTGTTATCATTGTAGTGTTGAAATGCTAAAGTCTCTCTACTTGCGAAGATAGCAGTGAACAACAGCTTTGTATGCGCGACTGCGGTTTAAACCTACGCTGTTTATGATAAGTGCACCCTTCCATCGACTGCGATTGACAAGTCATCAGAAGTGAAATTTATCTGAGGATCTCATTCTTGTAATCAGAAGCACGGATACTATAATCGTGGCAAGGGATGCCCTGGTGTACCGATCCACGGGATACCGAACGCGCCGCCATCTGTATTGGTGTCGATACTCATCGTAATTATGAAAGTGTTCACTTCCCCTGCTAGAGTGCTAACTGTATTCTCTGACTTGACAGACGATACTGACTTAAACAGGACGGGAAGATTCCGTTTTTAGACTCTCTTTCCGACCTAACACACTTCCGAAGCTGATGGCGTGTTTACATTAGTCCAGCTGTTTCCTTTGCTTAACTCTATTCACCGGTTTGGTCTTTTTATTCCCCTTGCTTTAGTTTCTATTCTGATCTGTTTGTATGCTTCGCTTCTATTATCACAACAGTTTTTGTGTTTGTCTATTGCTATTTAAAGGGGATTTATGACAATTTAATCCATCATTGTTTCCATGCTCGGACGGTTATTAACTAACGAAATTGAGTTCAGCTAAACGTTAGTGTCTCAGATTGCATAACAATAGCTCGACTGCCACTTCTCATTTGCCTTTACATCAGGATAGTTTTCCTTCCCTACGATCTCGCTGTACTTTTTGATCAGCTGGTTCAGGTGGCTTTGCTGCAGTTGCCTTCAATGCTACGGTCACCATAACCCAAAATAGCGCTGGGACACGTCAGTAGCGCACATTGTAATCTATTCGTTTCGGGATTCGAACTCATTCTCGCTCGCTACACCAATCAGCCGTGGGCACTAGGACGCACGTTGTATACGTTTGTTCTGGAAAGTGATACGGTCGGTGCACATTTGTGGGAGCTGACCGCAATGATAATAATCTCCCAAATAGCACCATAGACTGTGTTCGAGTTGATGAACCCGTCACCCGGGTGTTTTCCTTGGACATTTGAATCCTATTTTAGCTCCATCCTCCTTCCCCTTTCCTCATTGCTATCCTCGTCTCCCTCAGTTTATGGCTGTGTAACAACAAAGCACCAACACTGTACACTCCTCTATTGCTGTCTGTAGTGTTGCTAACGATCTCACTGACTGTCGGCGGTGTAAGCTTCAACAATTCTTCTGGTCCTCTGTAAGTAAACAATTATCAATTCGAAATGAAAAGTAGTTTTCTATGTTTTTGCTTCTGTAGATTCTGGACAATTTTCTCAATTTTTTCAACCCTCTTACAAATTAAATAACTGACCACTTTTGTGTCATGTTCGCAATTCCACTGCTGTTATTGTGCATTCCGTTTGTCTGTAGTGTCCCTTTTAACTTCCTCTTCAGTTCCGCTTGTTGGCTCCATGCCACCGTGCCGTCACAATTCCCTCTCTGAATTTTCGATTTCTTGTCCCTTATGGTTTGTTTGCAATGCGTTCATTATAGCTATTTATTTATGCCTCCTTGCTAACTTACAGGCACAACAGACCCAGTGGCTTCCGTCAAAAAACGACACCGTCGGGTCAAGTCGAATCCTAAGGGCACCAATGCTGACGGTTATGGTTAGTTCGATTGTTCCTCTCGCCATCAACCCGTTGTTGTTTTGCTTGCAAGCGTTTCCCCAGGTTGCCTGCAACATGTTGGTGTGACATAATTTTACATTGCTTGTCCCAATAATGTCAAAGCCATTGCATTGAATTGAAGTCGGGAAGACTTTATTGAATGGACCAAATCACTTGTCTTCATTGACACTGCGGTAAGACCTGTCTTGCTGTATGGATCAGTGACCTGGTCAGTCCGCGGCGAAGACATTAAACGCTTCATTGTGTTTGATCACCGGTGCTTGCGAAGTATTGCTCACGTTTGGTGGGAACACCGGGTGCGCAGTGCTTAGGTCCGCCAGTTGATTTTTTGAAAAATGCCTTCTGGTACTTCATTCGAGTGGTTGCTAAATCAGTCGCTTGCGTTGGTTATGCCATGTTCTCCGTATGTCCGTTGATCGTCTTTCTAGGCATGCGTTATAAACCATGGCCCCACCAAGTTGGGCGAAAGCTCGAGGTGGCCAGTCCATGACGTAGCATGGAAGCATGAGCAAATTGACTGAGAGGTTTGGTCTGGCTGGCGTGTACCGTCTTCTTGGACGGAGGCCTCGGTACGGTCCACGCCAGTGGTGAGAGACCGTGTTAGATATGGCGCAGTCACGAAGTCGCTGGCGTTCATGTATTTGGTTTCTTTCATCCGGTTGTTAGTCTTCGTTCCATTGTGGTTAATCCAACACATCTCCTTTTTGCTTTCATTTGCTCTTCATTCTATTTGCACCCAACCGGTGTTATTTTTGTTATTCCTACGGCGTGAGTCGTGGCAACTGAATCCACCGCACTTCAGTGCTCGGATGACAGTAGATCAGCTGAACTGAACTAAACGCCCTCTACCTAAAATTTCCTCCTGTCACCCCACTTCCGCCCGGTAGCGAATTTCGTCCTCCGATACACATCGGAATAGTGCTTGTCACTTTTTTTTCCCATTCGTAAACACTCAGCTCACGTTCTTAATCCAATAATCGCCAATGTTCATCACTTTTGTCTATGTACTCTCTGTTGCCCTTGTGGTGTATTTATCGTTCGGTTTTCTCACCCGACATTTTCGCTTTATCTCCACTTTTTCTGGTACTCATGCTCCACGTTTCACAACTGAAATTCACCCGTTTATGTCGTTCTGTCTCGATCCTAGTTACAAATCAGTTCCCATTGTCTCACATCATGGATTTTTGAATCCATTTGCATGCGTCCAATTTGTCGTCTGGTTTTTAATTGTTTTGTAACTTATTTTCATGTCTTTCGGATCCCAAGTAATTCACATACTTCTTTATGGAGCCTCTCCCAGCGTAATATTCCGGTGTTATTACAGATTCTGAGGGTTATGAATTCCAGCTCATCTCCATGGATCGCCAGTGGCATTTCGAAGCCAAAGGTCCCGAGGAACGCGACGAGTGGGTGGCGCACATAGAGCGAGCTATCATGACCCGATTGCAACTGAACGAATCCAACAAGCGCACTCGGGCTTGTGCCAGCTGTGTTGGTACGACATGCCCCGTTACCTCTATCTGCGGTAGCGCCCCAAACGTCGCCGGAGCCCGTTCTCTGGGTGACAGTAGCAGTCTTACTAGCGGTATTTCATGTACAGATGTAATCGAGACTACCGCTATTGAACACTTGCTCCCGTGTATTCGCGCCGTGGCTGGGAACGAACGTTGTGCCGACTGCGGTTCTGCTGGTGAGTCACATGTCCACTTTCCTCTAGCATATTAGACTTCGGGAGTTGCTCATACTTAGTCCTATTTATTGCTTTATCCCTTGTAAGATAGAGAAATCCGCTTCTCCTAAAGGGGCGCTAAACAGTATTGTTTCCGCTTTTCAACAGATCCATATATCTTTGGGATAACCTAGTTGGCTACCGATACTTTTCGTCGTGGATGTGTGAAAATGGCCTAATAGTCTACATCCTGATCATATTAGTTACCGGCATGCTTTGGAAGTTATTTGTTTCTCTCTGTTACTAGATGGATTATCTCTTTTTTTTAAACGATCTCCGCAACGTATCCCACTACAGCGACCAGTTAGCTATAAGTGTAAATATTCTCGACGACGCGAGAAATGCCTGTATCGGCATGATCAGGCAAGTGTATACTTGTATATGCTGGGTCAGGAAAATTGAATATCAGCTCAGATAATGACATTTGAGAGGTCAGCAAACGAAAATAAATGTTTGGCTGAAACGAAGTGATATTGGCTGCCCTTTAACCGTTCTCTCCCATATTTATTTATAAAGCAGTCAAATCACAGGAGGGTATGGTGATTAAGCATGTACCGGGACATGAAACTTGGATTCTGTTTGGCTCGTTATTATAGAACAATCAGACAGTTTAATTACGTTCAGTACAGTGGAAAACTTGAGGCTTTTGCTAAATTCATGTGCGAGAGTGCACACACATTCTGGGTGATAGCTTGTTCTTGACTTTGGCGTACCTGTTGGGCAAAATGTCCGCAGACCTGCTGGTGTTGTACGTTAATTTCCCTACTGGGTCCTGATTATTTCGTTTGTTGTAGGCAGTTAGCGTCATGTTGAGGTTGGAAATATATATATTTCTGCAAAATGTTGACGAATATGACTAGGTTGTGCTTTGTGCACCAAAGCGGATCAAGCTTGAGATTATCACACCGTCCGGAATATTGCAGTTTTGTTAGAAGCACCTAGAAGGCGCTTTGCAAATGCTCTTGGTACTTGTTACAATGCAGTGCGGTCCTGCTTTTTGTGCTTCTACACACAATGGAACAATATTCCGACGTGAGTCGAACAATATATATATATATATATATATATATATGCGAATGAAGTGTTGACCCATGTTTAGATAAAGTCATAAATATTAATCAAATGTTCCATCTTGCTCTCGCGGTAGCGTAGCCTACTTGTTCACAAAAGTCAAGTGAGCGTGAATATCGCAACTCCTGGTCTCTTACCGTAGGAGAGATTACGTGGTTTACCACTAGCAGTCAGGCCGCTATGAATCAAATCACACTTGGGGAGCATTGTACAGCATTTATCGGTAGGGGAAGACATTTTCCACTTTGAGCACTAGGTTTCAAGCGCATTGCTGTCGAGTTAGATCATGTTGACGGCACCATTAGAAACATCCGGACGGAAACTGTATGCGATTTTGTTGTCATCGCCAAATAGTTGCCGTGTGCCTAATTTTACTACCTCGAAGATATCATCAATATGTACTAAGAACGACAGCGGCCCAAGGACACTGCCCTGTATTACCCTACTGGTAACAGCTGTGGTTCTCCGAACCCGTAGTACATCAGTTTAGCTATAAGTCTCATGAAGCATCTGCTCAAAGGCCTTGTACATCTCGCTGCTTTTGCTGCGCTTTGTTCTGAGATTGGCACTTTACGCCCTCCCCTTTACTCGTTGATTCACTCGTTGCGCGTGTAGTCGCTTCTGGGTACTATACAGAGTTTGCGTTTAAGCTGCATGAATATCTAAGGAGTAATGGGTTTGATTGATTACTGTCTTTTTGTACTCAACTGCCTGCAATCCACATTAGTATTCCTTGGGAAACTACAAAGACACATTAGCTCTATTTCGTTCTATTTTCTTCACGTAGAATATTAGGCCCTCTACGTTCACTTTTACTTTCTTGTTAACCGCACGTTCTCCATCCATCATGACTATTGCGGTGGACGCAACCGATCGAGTTTCGTGCACAACACCGGTTATCTCCACCTGCAATGCCTCCCGTGCTAATTTCAAGACTGGTTATAATCGATGAATGTGTGTTTCTGTGTGCTTGCGCTTCCATGCGTTCGGACATCACCCACGTTATCCCGGCGAGCGAATAGCTGTTCGTCCGTTACGCCTCTGTCCACCAACGTCACCGTTGGATTGCATCCCCATGCGAACGTCGGTGTGTATTGACCATCCCATTGACTTGCTTGTGAAAATGACTGTCAGAGTCGTTTCGTGTGCCTGCGATTAGCTTCGAAATGGTTGTGTTGATAGGTTAAGATGGTGGCGCTGATAGCGCCACCTCATAAAAATTGCAATCCTCGTAGCTCTTGAATGCGCATGTTGATTCATGCGCTCTATATGCCCATTAATTACTATTAGCCTGGCTAGCTACGGATTAGTATGCTAACACTTTGGACTATTACGTTACTCTGAGTTTTTCTTATCCTAGCTGTGTGTGTGTAGATGGATCGGTTCATCATTACAAGTTTTAGCAGAACATGTTTTCAGTTTCCACTCTTTGTATACACTGGCCGTCAACTTTCTCAGTTGAGCTACATAACCATGTGAAGCTGGTTAACAGTTGAATAAATAAATAAATGGGTATGTTTTTCGACGGGTGGGATACGTTTCCTTCTGTGGAACGATCATTTGTACAGCGGGTTCCATCAGCATTTCATTTCTGATTTTGTGTTCAACATGAATCAGGTGTGCAATGATTTTGGAATACGTAATAGGTAACAAATTATTGGTAGGCTAGGTTTTATCATATGTTTTTCGGACCAGATTCCATGGTTGCACTCGTAGCTTGCTGAAGGCCAAAAAGTTCTATTAAAATTTTACATGTGATCTAAGTTTGAATAGACTCTCTGGTCCTTACTCTCACAGATGGACATGCCTCACCAAGAAGAAATTTATTTTGATCTTCCGTTAGAGTTGTAGACATTTCCGATTACGGGTGGGATAGATAGAGCCACTTTGTAAAGCGATAGCCGTACTTGTTAAAAAGACTTGCAAATGTACTACTCTGTAGAGGAGAGTGAGGATGCTATGCTGTCGTCAAAACCAAAGTGGGTCAAGCTGGAGATAAAATCATCGTTCCTCATAGGTAAACGTTGATGAACGCACCTTGACCATTCTGGTGAATGAGCCCTGGTCGCTTTCTAATGCAATTCCATCTATCTTGCATATTTGGTTATTTACGATGATGCATCACTCTAGTGTGGGTCACACTATATGTTTGGATGATTTAAGCCGGATTTAGGATAGAGAAAATGACCTAGTGATGTAGTTTGTTAGTTCTTTCGCTTTCACTACTTGCTGTGGGATGTGTCCGGAGTAGTTAAACCTGCTTGCATACTGAATTTTCAAGTCTCAAATGGGTTACGCGGTTGGGATGGGGTGTATCAGTAAGAGTGCTGAATCCTTCTGGTATAGTGCATCCGTGACAGAGTAGCTGAGATTTATCTGATGAAAATCTCACAGGTTTGCTCTCATTCCATGTATATCTCACAGGTATAGCTCCAGATGGTCAGGTGAAAACAAGTACACTATCTTGGTGGTGTCCGCAAATAAAATGGACACTCGCGCCTAATGCATTCATATGTTGTTTATGTAACTAGGAAGCAATGGACCCATTTCACTCTCCTGAACGACACTCCTTGACATTTCTGGGAGCAGAACAGTGTTGACCTATCTGTACTCTTTATGTTCAGCCGTTCAGGTTTAATTCGTACTCTGATGCAGTGACAAAATGGGACTTTCTGATTATTTTATGTGCTTATGCCCGTTTAGACAATTACATTCAAACCGTTCGACCTTGTCACGCGATGCATCCCATTTTTGTTACTTTTTTGCTACCTGTATCTTTCCCGCTTTTTAACTTAGCCCGGTATGTCTATTAACCTAGTTAACTACCTCGTTGTGCTTTAACCCCTCCCTTCTCACCTCAGATCCCGACTGGGCTAGCCTAAATCTAGGCGCATTGGTATGCATCAGTTGCAGTGGCATTCATCGACAGTTGGGTACTCATATTTCACGCATTCGCTCCCTACACCTGGACGAATGGTCACCAGAATCTGTCGCTGTTATGTGTGCCATTGGAAACACACTGGCCAATTCCGTCTGGGAAGCGGCTGTCCCAGTTAATGCTGGCAACCGCAAGTGAATTTTGTCCACCGTTTTCGTGTAATAATTGCGGGTTTCTCTCTTATCTTTGAAATGATGTGAAAACGCTTAGTTGAAACTAATGCAGCAATCATACTAGCGACGGATTTTTATAAACAACTGTTCGCTGCGCTTAAAGGAGCACCACTTTAGCTTCGACGCTGTAAAGACTACTATCACTCTCTGCTTACTTTAATTTGCGTAACATGCCTTCGTTTAACTAACAAATTACTCACTTGGCCCCATTTTCTTATGTACTACCAACCATCGCGACAGGAATGGACATGAACGCAGTTTAACGGTTTGCCTACCTCAGTGACCCATCAAGCTACGCCGGGTGGCACTTTGCGAGTGCCTTCAGAGCCACGCCTACCAGAGACTTCAATCGTTAGGGCCAGATTATCTCAGTCTGAATATCCCCTTCGGAATTAGGGAAAGGTCCATGTCTTTCTTTACAGCCAAGCCATGGGAGACAACAGGTGACGAGTTATAAGCCCCTAGCTTGTTTGGCGTGCAGCACTCGTGCTACGCATTGTCCCTGACAGTAGGAGAATACCGCGCCATACTCATCCGTTCGCCACCGCTCACCTTAAGCCAAACAGCTCCTGGTCTAATGGGAGTAAACCCCCCAACTCCTACCTGCGGCTGACCTTGGTTGCAGGTACCTAACGGTCGAAAATACATATGAGTCGTTCTAAATCTTCAAAGACTACATATGACAGACCTCAAGCAGATCCCAATGGGTCTGTGCAATCACTCCCCATCTAGAACAGCTCCCTTGGGCCTTGCGGGTCAGGCTACTGAGCTAAACGCTTTGGGTGGATCCCCACAAGCGAACCTCCATGTACCCCACTGCTTTGCGAGTCAGGCTACTGAGTCAGAGGTTAAAGGTAAGACATCTCGAACAAGACCTCCCTCTCGAAATGGACAGCCGGATAGTATCAACTGCCTTCCTTACCCCGTCGACAACCCTATCTCGTCTCGTTTTCCCCTCCCTCTCTGTTCTCCTCTTTGAGATACAGATTACCGCTGACCGCGCAACTGGTACGATCGTTACGTGTGACCCGTCCATCAAACCGAGAGTCACCTCCAACATTGGTTCGTTTAACATCAGCACTCTAGATCAGATCGGCCAACATGCAGCACTAACTCTCACCCTTCACTCTCTGGGTATTTATATGTGTTGTATCTCCGAAACACGCATGTAAGATGACAATGTTGGGACGAATCTTCGACTCCCTGGTTCTGCATCTGCTGAGTCAATGGATCAAGATGTTTATAGTATTGGTATCGCCCTCTGCAAACTTTCTCAGGGCACTCTATTTGATGGTATGCTATTGAGCAGTCGCATGTATGTGATTCGGTTTCGAACTTCTATTGGGCTTAATGCACACCGTATGTAGACCAGGTGCCTTTTCATCGCCTCCGTTTATGCTTCTACTGACTGCAGTTCAGAGAATATCAAAGAGGATTTATACTACCATCTCTCATGTCTTCTCCGCATGGCGATGAATACCGACATTGTGATTGTTACTAGTAACTTGTATGCCCAAGTGAGTCGTCTTTCAGACACTGAACAACACCTGGGAGGGCCCTTTGGAGTCGATGCATGCCGAACAGACAATAGCGATCGATTCCTGCAACTGTGTGCATTACTTTCTAGCACAAACGTTCACACCGCGTCACCTGACGCCCACCGAATTCCTCTATGACCTGGACCCAACTTGACCATATTGCCATCAACTACAGGTGGCGCACATCAGTCCAAAACTGTCGGTCAATTTGAAGCACATGCCTGGACTCCGAACATGTGCTAGTACGCTCACGCTTGGCGCTCAGTCTTTCTACTTCAAAGAAGCGCCTATCTTCTAACCTTCTTACCTGTAACTGCGGTTCACCAATAACATGACGAACTGGCCCACCAAAGTCAGTGAGGAATGGGGTTGATGAGCAGAACGCTGACTGGGATCGTCTTAAGTGTGCCATGAAGTATGCCTTTGACGCTTGCTGTGCACCAAAATTAGGACTTCGTAACTGCGAATGGACCTCTGAGGCATCGAGCAGTTTGATCGAAGCGCGTAAACAAGTTCTGACGGGCACTTACTTTCAGCGGATCCGTAATTCCTTGAAACGACGTCTGACAAGGAATCTTCGAGTTGACCGGGGACGTTGGTGGATTGCTTTTGCTAGCGACTTGAATGCCCAAGTGGGTCATCTCTCAGACTTTTAACAACACCTGGAAGGGCGCTTCTGAGTCGATGCACGCCGAGCAGACAATAGCGATCGATTCCTGCAAATATACACCGAATACAATCGTGGTATTAACATCATTGATTGCCAGCATAAGCATTCACATCGCGTCATTAGGCGCCCACCGATTTCCTCGGTGACCTGGGCCCAAACTGACCATATTCTCGTTAACTACAGATGGCGCACTTCGGCGCAGGACTGTCAGTCAATATGAAGTACGTGCCTGGATTCCGACTGTGCTCTAGTGTGCGCACAATTGGTATTCACTCTTCTCGTTTCAAGGAAGTGCACAATTTCTAAACTTCTCACTTGCAATTTGACGATCTGGCCCAACATTTGTCAGTGGTGAATGAGTTTGGTGAGTCGAACGCTGATTGGAATCGTCTCAAGTGCACTTGGCCTCTGCATGAATTCCCGGTCATCAATCAGTTTGATCGTGGAGGTTGTTGGGCTTGAAGGACGAGACATCACCATGAGCAGGTATGATCAATCTAATCAAAGTCCTAAATTCATGGTGAGAGGCCACGCTAGGATGTTCGTAAGTATGATTTGGCATTCGGGCCCGTGGCAGAGAGTAAAACTAACCAAGGCTCTCTCTCTACTGGACGGAAGCCAGGCTTACTTTCGATGATGCGTTTCTCGCAAGTATCGGTAAGCCGCCGCAGTATGCTACACGTCAGCAGTTTAGAGGCAACTGCGGTTTTCGCTAGCTGTCCTTCCGTCTTTTTAAACTGGACTGACCTTTGACAGCCACGAGTCAGAGGGCACTGCCTTATTGTGCCAAATAGTCTAAAACAGGACGGCTGACGCAGTCACTGGTTCGTCACCATTTTCCCTCCACAACTACCGTGGAAGGTTGGCGAAATGCAAACCTATCCATCAGGGATAGAGTGCAGAGCTCAGTTGTGCGGCCAACTTTGCTGTATGAATCAGAGGCATGGCCGCTGCGAGTCTGGGACATTAGGGTGCTGGTAGCGGGTGGTTTATTGTGCTTGTGGAACACTGTCGGTATCTGGATGAAATTGGCGTTTCGCTGCAGCTTCTCTGAGGTCGCACCGGACTACCGTTGAAATCGATTCGCGTACGCTGGCTAAGAGAGGTCCCTCACTTTCTTGTCAGCCTTACTATCTCGTCTTGTAATGTTTAGAAATACTACACATAGTCGGAAGAAATCCTTAGTTGCTTATTCGGTGACATAATCAGAGGGTACTAAGGAACTGAACAAGGAACCTCATCGGACAGGTTCGCATCACCATGCAGGATTAGAAAAGTGGGGTAGCCTAGACCATTGTTTGGCGCAGTTATCAAGTCATTGACGCCTCTTCATTCGCTCTCTCGCGATCTGAAGATTTCATTTATCCTTTATGTCATTCTCTTTCCTTCTCGTGTCTGCTCGATTAGATTCAATGCGTCCCGGTTCGCGTATGGCCAACTAACTCAAATTATTAATCGTTTGTATTCACTTTAACCCGACTACAATCCGATAGTATAGTCTAATACCTTTTGGTCTACGCCGTCTGGTGCGTTACCTTTCCTCCATTCTTGCAACTAACGTGCAACTTCCAAATCTGACCGGGTTTTTGTTGCTTATCTGTTTTATCATTTCAAACTATATCACAGTTAGTTACAAACTCATGGCAGCTGCCGCTGATCCCCCCGTAATCCACTGTTTTGAAACTCGCAAGAGATTGGTTGTAGGGTTCTAGTCCCACAGATGGAATGTGCAGCTCTCGTGGTTCCCAAGTGGGTGGAACAGCTGCCCACTGCTTTTCCGGACGCACACTAGCTACCTGGCTGAGTGTTTGCTGTGAGGAACTTCCATCGAAAATTTAATCCGAATCCACTCTGAGTCGTTCATTGTTTGTCTTTCCTCTAACTCAACTGCCATCCTCTTCTATTTTCTGTTCGTTCCTAACCGTCTGGCATCCTGTTTCCTGTAACCTAGCAGTCAACGTGAAACTGTATAACCGATTCGGGTTTTTAATAATACTTGTCCGGTCTGTTTTTTTCCAACTGTACCTGCTAGGCTCCTCTATTGGGACTCCAAGTTGCTTTAATCATTTGTAGCAATATTCTTATCTTTACAGTCGTCCGTTGTCACACTTTCTCTATGTACTATTTGAACCCCATACATGTTCTCAATATTGCACTTTCCGGATGCGAAGTCCCTACTTAACTGGTTTGGGCTTCAGTCTATCCACATAGGACCTATCGCCGGTGCCATTAGAATATTAGCCCGTGGTGACCCGTTAGCCAAAGGGGTGGAGGTTTCGGGTAAGATTTCAATGGTTCCAGGTCCGATGCCTGCTACTTGATGAGCTCAAGTTTCGAACCCCCTCGTAAAGTTCAGTGTCTTCGGGCGGGTAACACCCAATATTATTATTATTATTGTTATTATTATTATACCTGTTGCTTCATTTTTTATGTACCCTGCTTTTAATTCGTCGTGTCCATCTTCGCTAGAAAACCGGACGCCTCTAGTTCACGCGAGGAAAAGGAAGTTTGGATCCGGGCCAAATACGATCGTCAGGAATTCCTTCCTCCCTTGCCTTATCCAGACGCACCACTGCAGCAACAGTTGATTGATGCGATTGCCCGCCAAGACACGCGGCAGGTTGTCCTCTGTTTGGCACTGGCTACACCGGATACGGTTAATGCCGCGTATTCACGGCAAGACCCACGAGCTGCTATACATATCGCGGCAACCTTGGGCAATTTGGTTTACTTGCAACTGCTTTTGTGGGTAAGCAGCAGAAATGGAATGGTCTTTACACACATTCAGTTGGCATCAGTCTATTACCCTTTATCTGTCTTCATCTGAATTCCATATTTAATCAATGCTTTTTTCGTATTGACAGTTAACATAATGTGTGCATGTCTATCCAGTTTCTTCCGTCATTTTTTGCGATTCCATCATAGTTGGCCGCTGTATTTTTCGCATTCTTTCCAACTGTGCATACAGTTGAACCTCCCGAAGTTGACCACTCAATGGACTGGACCAGAGTCGTCAACATATGGAGGTCTGGATCCATAAGGTTTGAATAGCGAGCGATCAACTTAAAGTGTGATCAACCTCTGAGCTTTTACTGTATCTAATTTCGAGCTATGTGCTCACATGCTTTATGGATGCGAACAGTCACAGGAAGCCTGAGCCTACCGATGGACCATTGTGGGCTTGTGCAGCACCGCTCGCACCTCCATCCACACACCCCATATCCAGCGTAAATGCAAAACAATAAAATTGGGAGCCATAATTGTTTCGGGGCCGGCCTACACCTTCCTCATGCACATCATTCATCATCACTATACACGTTAGCTGCAGGTGGAAAACACCTCAGCTATTGTGCCGCAATACTAAAGACAAGAGGAAAAAATACAACAGTGGCACGCCGGCTGTGTCCCCATTGTAATGGATGGACATCGCACCGCAGAGCTAACAGCCGGCTAAAAGGAGTTATGCCTAACTAGTGAGATCGCGATTGGAGGGGGAGGCTAAGCAGGAGGGGGATGGACAAAGGAATTGACAACAAACGCCATTGGGGCCGGCTCCTAGCCATATCAGCAAGTGTGCCCAACCAAACGTGTTCGTCATCCTTCGGTCCGCAGTCGGGATGCACCAACCGACGCCAACTTCGAAGTAAGGCTATTCATTTCTCTCGACCAAGTCATCGCTTGGCCTCCTCTTCCAACCGCATTCCCGGCGCACCAACAATGCACGTCGCAGAAGTCGGTGTGCTGGCATGCACCATGCTGGCATGCCCAACCGTCGGAGCCTGGTGCGTGATTTAATGTTGCTGAGCGGTTCACTCGCTCTCGCTGCACAAAATACGGGATGCCGAACACGCCCATTGCTTACGCGGTGCTCCCACCAAACATGAGCTAAGCTGCGAAGGCAGCGATGATCGAATATGACGAGCCCCTTTATGTCCGCCGACCTGATGGGCCAGGTTTCACAACTGTACAGAAGGGTTAAACGGACTGCTGCGTCATAAATTCTGTCCTTCAGGGCGAGAGTGATGTCGCGTCTGCGCCACAGGTGGCGGAGATTGGCAAAAGCACCTCGAGCTTTTGCTATACGGTTCGTAACCTCATCTTCGATCCCACGGGCGCTAATATAGCTGCCCAGGTACTTGAATTCCTGAACGACTTCTAGCTGATCACCACAAAGCGTCAGCGCAGGGTTGGGTCCCTGCCAATCTTGGAGAAGTACTTTGCATTTCGATGGAGCAAAGCATAGCCCAAAACGATTGACAGCCAGTGCTAATCGGTCCAGTGCTGCTTGGCATGTTTGGGAGCTGTCACAGATTAGGGCAATATCGTCCGCATACTCCAAGTCAAGAAGTCGCTCACCAGGAAGTAGCTCCACACCTTCTAGGTCGTGTCCAGCGAACGCTGTTTCCATGACTTCTCAATAGCGAAGTTAAAGAGGAAAGGTGACAGCGGGCAACCTTGTCTCACACCGCTGGTGATACTGAAGGGTGGCGACAGTTTGCCATAAACCCTCACTCTGCCCGAACTATGAGTGTACAGCGCTTTGATTATGTTTACCTATTTATCAGGCACATCAATCCACAGAATCGAAGGCACCTTTTATATAAAAAAGCACAACAATGGGTCGCCAATATACTTGGCGGTGCTTCAACAATTTACTCAAGGTATAAATGTGGTCGATGCAGCCCCGACCTGGACGAAACCCGGCTTGCTCTTCACGGATCTGGCTTTCATCAGTACCAGTCAATCTGTGTAGAATGACAGAGGCAAGCAATTTAGAGGCGATTGAGATCAGACCGATCCCTCTATGATTGCCGCATTCCGAACGGGAGCCTCCCTTGAAAATTGGGACAATGACGGAGCGGCTCCAGTCAGTCTTGACAGTCTCCTAGCAACTCGTGTAAATCTTCTACTAGACTAGGTCCCCCGAATTTGAAGAGGGCTGGGGGAATTCTATCTGCCCTCCTGCGGCCTTAGGCTATCACTACAGTCTGATCTCACGTTCGACTTCTGTGCGTGAAGGCGGATCCAAGGAGACGGCCCAGGGAGAAGGGCGCTCAATGCCCGAAAAAGAGATCCATAGCTCAGGTTGGTTAAATTGTCTTGCAAAGTGTTCGGCCCAACGCTCCAAGCGTTTTGACAGGCTGTGGATCGACTGTCCATTCTCGTCGCGTATGGTCTCTCTAACACCAGGTCTGCTGCCATTTTCCCTTATCAGACGGAATACCTTACGATGGTTACCAACAGTAGCAGATGTCTTCTTTTCCGATGCACCATGAGACCACCCAGCTTCGTTTCCTCTCTTTAGGCTAACACGCAGTTTTGTCCTGCGGTTTTTGCGAGTCTCCTTGTATTCGCCTCTGGTCGGAATACGTCGGCGAGCATCCAAAAGTTCCAGAGACTGTGTAGAGACGCATTGTCCAGTTTGGCAGTTTGATTTACTATATGAAGACATGCCTGCTGATAGTAACGTTTGGCGAATATGCATCCAGTGATCTTCGACGGTGTTCAGTGGGCGCTTACTCAGTGCGAATACCAGTGTACTTTGATGTGCATTCAGAACACCTGGCTTCGATCACAGTGACGGTGCGGACGTCCGTCGAAACGCACCCGATGGTGTGCACACACAAGAACGTGCTCCAAATCGAGCAACAGTTTTGGATAGTCTTTCCAGCGGTAACTGATCGCGATATGATAGATTTTTGCGTCCACGGCTGGTGCAAAACTGGTGGGCGCCAAGTCACTCTTCTGCGGGTGCTATGTCGAAAGTTTGTGCTCGCGAGAAATAGACGAACGTCTTCCCACAGCTGTAGCAATCGTTCACCGTTATCATTACGGGAGCCTAGACCATGTTATCTGCCCAGATGAAACTCATCAAAAGTCAGTATCCGTACTTTCTCTGTAACGAAGGTGATCATGACTTGGGTGATGGAAATCATCTTTCACGGAGTCATTGCTACAGTTTGTGGTGGCGTGGGCCGCAATGATAAACATACTGTTTGTATCCGCGCGACTTCGAAGCCGTTGATCCAGGCATCGTATCTAACGGTGCACATTCGGCTGTTTACTGGGAACCAATCGATCAGAACAGCTTCAGCCCAGGGACTCAAAAAAATGCCGACGCCAGCTTGACGGGCGTTTGAAACTGCCTCCTCGCCAGACAGGCCCAATGTGAATGTGCCGCCAGTGTCGCATGTGGGAGATCGCAGGATAAGCAAGGAGCTCGAATCTTGCAAGCGGATTGCGGATAAGCAGCATATATCGACCAATAGGGTATTGCAGTGTTCGGTCAAGTACTGCTTGTTGACCAATCCGTAGCAATGTGCTCACGTTGTGGTGTGCCAGCCTTAGTGAGGGTCGAGGACTCCAAAGAGAAGCGGATGAACTGACGTTGTCCACTTGGTTGAATATGAGTCTACTGGAACTCAACAACTTGTGTTAGTTGAGGGCTACTGGTCCCCAACTTTATCATCAGTACAGAGTTTTGGGTGTTTCTTACTCCCAACAATGCACTGCACTATCAGTCTCATCTTTGGATGGAGTCCGTCAGACAGGGGTAGTTCGAATTTTGTATGGATCTCAAGTCATTAAGCCACTGAGATCGTTGTGCAATGGCGGTTAAGAATTCAGTGCTGGATTTTTTCAGAGTACTTGCTGTGTGTGCGTTTGGATTTCAGCACACAATTTCAGTCGGAACTCTAGTGCACTTCCAAATAGACGTCTATTATTCCGACGACTGGCACTGTATCCGAAATGAAGTGCGCTAACTTCCCCACTTAGCTTCGATGTGTTTTCCCAGCATATACCATCGCATATCATAGCGACATTTGGAAATCGTTTGTGTATAAATATCTCTTGCGTATACGTTGATTCTGTCGAAGGTTTCTAACAACTATTTGTTCCTTAGATTTTCACAGGCACTTAGGCTGACGATATCAGTTCACCACCAGAGACCCAAGCTAGATGTGAAATGCAGTGCTGTGCAACATTCCTGTGACTGGTTAGTTGCTTTTGTGGACCTCGATAGATCAGCGCTATGTTTGGGAGCGGTTTCATACAACTTTGCGCACGTTACCAAGCAACTATCTTACTAATCGCACCCGCTTTAGCCCATTGAACTAACAAATTATCCCCACGCCTTGCTGACTGTAGTGTTTTGCAAAGTGTGATCCTCTCACCTCTGTTTTCTTTATACATCGAGCTACTTTTTATGTCATCCATTAGATGCGAATATGTGCACGATACCATAGGTTCTCTGGCGTAAACACTCGATACACCTTCAATACGTCAGGGTGGGATTGGTATCATCCTAGGTCTCTTACTTTTAACGCCGGTAATTTGCTCTATTCCTCTGACAGCGAAAAATCTTACCTAATTCATCCATCGCTTAGTGTCTCAATGTCTCTATGTCCCTGAACCTATCTTAGTCCACACCACTTTGTCAACTACTTTATCAAATCAGAGTTCTCTTAACTGCTTTCAGTACCCCATAATTTTCTTTTTAACTACGTGACTAAGTGTTTACGCTGTTCTCACGTTTCCATCTAGAGGACTGCAGCTTGACTGTGCGAGAAACATGGCAAACTTCTAGATTCCTCGGTTAATCTACAGCTTGTTTTAACAATTAACTGGACACATAAGTCAATTTTTCTCGATCCTATGTGTTCATTTTTGTCCACGATACACTAATCTATCAAGAGTGCCCCCCTGCTGTGCCTATTTGCTCAGAATTCAGCGCTTTGTTTTCTCACACTCCATCGTACCGTAATACCGTCTTACTGTATTCATCACAATTACTTGTCGATCCAAAGAGTGTCATCGCTATGACGCACGACCGGTTGCTCGTTTGATTCTGGCGTATATTTGTCCTTTTACAGCGCCGGGAAAAAATCCTGCATCATCTTGGTATAAACGCCAATCTGTAATTTGGTGGCTTTGTCGTCTAAATGAATACAGAAGTGCACATAAACGATTTAGCATTTAACTCAGAACTTATTAGTCTCATCACTGTTAGTGTTCTTATATTGCTTAAAATTGTTTAGGCCACATACCGTTGGTTGTCGTCTGTGTGTAATTCAATGTGTCGAATTGGGATCGACACCGACCTTTCAAACGGTGTGATTCTTCTCCATTAGGTATGTTGGATTTATCTCCAACAACAGAATAGGAATATATATATATATATATATATATATATATATTCATTCGTAACTTTGCAGTGCGTTTTAGCGCAAACTCATAAAACTTGTTTGTCAGGCTGACTAGGGTTTTACTATGGGATCCTTCAATTATGTAGACAAAGATGCGCGCGTTAAGTAGCAGGGCTCCATGAAGAAGGCTACTGAAGCAGCAAAATTGCGGCAGATGTTGGCTGTAATCAAAGCACATTTATCAGATTTATTAAAAACCAGACTGAAACTGGTAGCACAAATGACAATCACCGATCTGGTCGACCAAAGAAGTAAATATAACGTGATAACCGGACGTTACAAAGGGTGTATTTGAGTGACAGGAAGTTTACGTCCCCTCAGCTTCTGAAGAAAGGGAAAGCAAAGTGTTCCGTGTGTGAACCTCAGTAGTTAGAAGTCAGTGCTTGAAATTCGGTCTGAGTAACTGCAGGTCAAGGACGAACCCATTGTTGCTTGGTACACAAATGAACCAAAGACTGGCATGGGCCAGAAAGTATTCCTGTTGAGCCAATATGGATCGGAGAGTTTTATTCAGTGCTGAGAGTCAGTTTTGCATTCTTGGGAATCATAGTAGCATATTTGTCCGGCGGTTTCTAAGGGAAGAATAAAAACCACAGTGTTTCGGTCTCCCTTTCAAGCATCCAATAGTAATCATGTTTTTGGGTTGTCCTCAACGGAGTTGATGGTAAGCTCAGTGCGCAAAGTACGTAGGTAATCATTAAAAAACTGCATGTTCTCATCTACTCAGAAGCTATTCGCGATGACATTGTGCCCGTTACATCGTGCAGACAGATTCAGAATGGATGTATCAAGAGGTGAAGACGTTAAAATGACCAGCTGACTCCCCAGATTTAAATCCATTTGCAAATTTTTGGTACACATCATCAATAGAAATATCAAAGAAACTGCTATCGACCAGAATACAACTTTTTGGGTCTCTTATAGATGCTCGGAACCGAGTCATTATTTGCGAACATCTCCAAAACCTGGAACATTCAAAGCCTGCGAGGTACAGTGCAGTTAAGAGAAACAAAAGCTGACCAACCAAGTATTAACACTTGAAATTATGTATACGATCCTTTTCTGGGCCACAAGCTGTACATCGTGGTAAGCGACCCTGTTAGAAGGCAGTTTTCAGGTGATACCGTTCAATGCGAGCTTAAGGGGTCACACGTATAAACTCGACTGGAATGCCACAATTTAAGTGCAGCAATACTAAAAACAACTGAAAGAAACTTTATGTATCACCTCGTGTAAGTATAAGGTGCGTGTGCTAAATCGCACAAAAACGAGTCTTTTTCTTAGTGATGCGTGACTTTCTCACAGCGCTGTGCATTTCGCTTTGTTACGCCGATTGATGCCATTTTTTAGTACATCAGCCATCCTGGAAACGCATCCTTGATCCATTCTTATAACTGCATTGAAATATGTGTCCAGTACAGATCTCCGCATCACCTGTATCTCTTTTCTCAGTACAATGGAGACCCAGCTGTCACAGACCACGAGGGACGCAATGCATATTACTACGCCCATTGTTCTCAGAAATACGATTGCGCGGAATTTTTGCGACGAAATGGGTGTCCAAAACAGCTACTTCCTCCCAGTTCTTCTGGCTTAAACTCCGCTGTCATGGAGCGGTCAGCGCAGCCACCATCACTTTCACAACAGCCGGTATGCTCCGGCGGTCCCTATCTGTCAAACCTTCCCAATACGGGTATATCATCCTCCACGATATCTAGACCTTACCACTTCTCACATCTACAACAGCAACCGGCTCATGTAGCTGCACCCGTATCATGCGTTTTGACGGGACCTCCGAGTCAGCTGTTCGCCAATCAACATCATCCTTTTATTGCTTCGAAGCTGTCACATTCAGCTACTGCAGCGTCTCAGCCTTACACTCAAGGTATGCTTTTCGCGTTTCTTTCGTGCGCCTTTTTCCATTTTACTTTCGCCGGCGCGCTTCAACTTTGTTGCATTATTAGGTAACTCGCAGCGCTAGGGATTCGCCGCACAGTTTGCGATGTTATTTCTGTCGGGTTATTACAAAGGCATAAGTGTGTTTTCATTTCAATACTGAATTCTTATTCGAAGTGCTATCAGCCTCAGCTAAGTTCACTGAACCAAACGACAGTCAAGTGATTAATTCTATTTGTATTGCAACCTCGAGTCTAACGGAATATATCCATTTAAATATGTAAATATGTTGACCGTATGTTTCTCGAACAGTGCTTCTGTGCACACGATTTGTGTGTGGAGCGGACTACTGTCCAGCCACCGCCTTGTGTGTGCGCTTGATTCCCCAAATACAGCCTGCTTGTGTTTGCCTGTGAAGGAGTGTGGGCCGGCTCCGTTAATAAAACGTGGCTCCCATCCACATGCCTCCCGGTCTTATTTCTTCGGGTTTTCACTGGATATGCGGTGTGTAGATGAAGCTGTGGGTGGTGCAGCGCAAGCCACCCATGGTCCTTCTGTAGGCGCAGGCGTCCTGTGACTGTCCTATGGAGGTCACAATGACAGGCAAATCCGAAACTGGATGCCGCGAACCATGTTCCTCGATGATGTGACGCACAGTACAGCTGAGTGGTTTGATCAATATGTGCAGCACGCTCACATAAAGCAAGTAATTCTTCGAGTTTTATACTATGCATCCCAAACGGGTTTTTAATATGTTTAGCAAGTTGAACGTATTAGAGAAATTGAGAAACTCTGAGTAATAACAAATACGGATTTGACCAAATGTTCAAGCAAAGTAATCTGTAGAACTGTACTTATGGGACACAGTTCCATGTAAGGTATTCCCTCGAAAGGTTTCACCCGCACTTCCATGCACCATCTGGTTGTGTACCGTTTTGGCAAAATAGCAAGTAAGCTATCGCTTCTTTAACTATCTTTAGGGCTGTTTTCTACGTGTGTGTTATGTACGAGCAAGTCGTCCAGCCTCTTCCACCATTCGGCTCTGCTGAGCATAGCAATGTTTTTATGAACCAATGAGTCATCCTGCATACGCCTTGCATAGGTATACTTGCTGGCTTGGAAACCACAGTCCCTCACCTCAGATCAGATCAGCGCAGTCGTGGACCACGATGAAATGAGGAAGAACAAAACATAAGCAATGAAAATATAGTAATTACAAGCATTTGCAAATGCGCCAATCAAAATTCGATCAAAAATCTTGGCGAATAACCAGATTGATACAGTTTTCCAGAGAGAGTATTTTCCACTCCGACTAGGGTTTCGTAAGGGATGTGGAGCAGTACACATAATCTACGGTTTAAAACCTCTGCTTTATTGCCAGTTCCAATCAATTGAAACTTCTGGGATAAACTAAGAGTAAATTCACTGGTTCCAAACGATTAATCACAAAGATGCGATTCATTTTCGTTCGCTTGGCGGGGACATGAAGAAGAAATAAGGAATCATCGGATAAGTAGAAAGCTAACGGAAAGTAATTTTTAAGCGGTAATGGAAATGATACGTCGAGCTACTTTCCGTGTTCAACCAATAAGTGGTGCATACTAAGAATCAAACGCAAGAGCACACAAACATTATGTACAAGGGATACAAACCGATCCTACTACTTACAATTACGGGACTAATTGCACCAATCAAACTTTTATACAGTTTCTGTCTAGCACCACTCGGAAGGAGCGTTTTTACTAGTAATCTCAATTTTTAGCTTTCTATGTTTGCGTTTTATTTTGTCATAATATCACTCGCTCCCTTAGTTGTGGAGACATTTTCGCTCTCCGACATAGGTCTTTCGTGCTCTTTGTGTCATATGTGATCCGGTCCTTCCTCAAACAATCTGCTATCGTTTCTTTGCCAGTTTAGGATCTGTTTCACTTCCGCTGCGACTAAGCGGCCTACTCCATCTCAGGCTGAACCTTATAAATGTTCTTGCAAATAGTCACTATGATCATATATTCTGTGTTACGTATTTCATATCTGATTTCTAATCGATATTGCCACGATCCTGCCACTATCTTTTTTCCCTTGTTGTTTTGTATCACACATCATTTTTGATGCAGTTCGATTCAGTTAAACAGTTATGATCCAAGCATAGTGGGACGGTGAACCCAGTTGTCATATTTCGCTTCGCTATACTGATAGTGTTTGATAATGTTCTTGAACAAGTGGTAAAGTGTGAATTAGGGAAAAACTTGGGTGGAATTATTCAGCTTGGAAGGTTGTTGGGTGGATGCGGGTGACCGAATGCAGGAGTGCCATTGACTTCGCTACTGCACGATATCTCCAATCTCTGGCGTCGCCGGTCCCAACACCGATACGTGAGTAAGCTGAACTGATGTTTCGCCGTTGTATACCCTCACTGGAATGAGGATTAATAAGAGGTGGAGAAGGGAACACTACTACGAAACCTGGATCCTTGTAAGCAAACATCCAGAGGTGTAATTCCTGCGTCTGATCATTTACACGCCCCACATGCGACTTACTATCACGCGAATATATGGTCTCATCAGCGAAACAGCTTCCCCGCCGCTTTCAATACCCGCACCATATTAGCCTTATTCCGCAGCTAACTCGGCGAGACATAAACAGTCATTCTGACTGGGAGACTGCATCAAACGCGGCAACGGTGCTATTTGCGGACCATATCCCGTAAGGGCTCGAGAAATGAAGAAGGTGGGTCGCATAAACTCCAGTCTGAGAGGCGAGTTATCCGAATTTATTCGCTAGGTCTTCATTCCTCCTGCCTAATCAATTTTGCTCCCTCTAGCCCTTTGCCATCCAAACTGATAAACAAGTTAGATCCACTTCAGTATGCGGTGACTGAGCATGTATATCACGTACCCAGGCCAACGTAACAACTGTTATTTGCTGTGCTAAACTAGTGATCACTACCTAATGCTCGCCCACGTTGATGCCATCTGTCATCACCCATGCTCCGCAGGCCGCGATGATCAAGATTTTGAAGAGACTTCAACTCTTCCGACTAAAGAAGGCAACTTTTACACCCCTAGAGAGGAACTGCCTTCTCCGTGACTTTTGTACCCGCGGCCTTCCAGACCGAGGGCAATCCCCTTCCGTCGCCACAGTTGTCGTAGATACATTAAGATGGTTCTAGCTTTCGCAATACATGAAAAAACTTTGGCAGTCATACGCCCATCACTCCCAAGATATGTGGATTGGTCAACTACTTCTAATATATCTGGAGTCAAGAAGTCATCATGTGGCTGCTAAGCATACAACAACATTTTTCACTTTGAAGGTACGATGCGCATACTAATGAATCTATCCAGGATTGCTTGTGCAAACTCGTGACTGTCAGACAGCAATGCGATATTGTCCCCATAATCCAGCTCAATCAATTCTCCGCCAAGCAGCATTTCAGTGCCCGTTCCTCAAGAAAATACCGCATTCTTGGAGTTCACAAGAAGGTGGACAACCTTGATGAACGCACTTGTTATCCGTATGGTAATCGGGAATTCACTGTAAACCCTGAAGCGATCTGTGATGTTCTAGTACAGGGCACCTAAAATGCTCGCATATTTCGTAGAAACATTTTCCGGTCTAGTTGTTTCACCGAATGATACACTGTCGCCTTAGCGCACGTTAAACATCTACTCCATTTAGCCCCGCACTTCATCATCCGGACTTCCCTTCGGTGGACGAGAATTGAGGCCAACAACTCCGTCATTACAGGTATCAGACCGAAACCCCTGTGGTTAGCTCAACCAGTATGCTGCCCTTGCATATTGCCACCATGATCAATTCATTTCAATTTGCTGGAATAGTCTGTTTTTTCCATACATGTTCGAACAGGAATGTTGGTGAAGCAGATACATATTAGGTGTTGCCCTCCCGAAAACACTGGAATGTCAATGCTCCACAGATGACTTCACAACCGTCTTTGAATGGCGCGCCTACTGAAGAATGTGGACCAGCGGTGCGAATACTGTTGGGGGTTGTGATCGCGTTTCGATCCTTACTCCGGCGGCGCGTTTATAACTGACCGAACATGTGTGGACTTTTACCATCTAAACACAAGGTGGTCTATGAGAAGACCAACTGGACTAATCTTGTGAGTGCCCCACTCAACGAGCCTGACAACACTCCTTATTGTTTATTAGTGCACCTCTGTTTCTGAAGTTGGTTTGGCGGATCATTTAGAAGAGTCTACATAATTACCCGCCGTTCTCCGAAGTCGTCTGTTCCAACAGGCTCCGCTCTGGCTTTCGTATGTTAGCGCCTTTAGTCACATTATGCTCGATGCCAGCAAGGTATTTCCTTCTGGATTCCATGTGGTTCACCGATACTTCTGATGTCCAGTAACCGGTATGTTGATGACTTGTGTTACCACAAACAGATGCTCATGCACCTTGCACAGTGGCGGAAGTACCATTCTTCTGATGCTTGCTGTCCTCAGAGCAAATCGGTGAAGGCTTTGTACACTGGGCCCCTATTGCGTTTGCCTAAGGATTGAATGCGTATCAAGACATAATCAGACTCATATAACGGATGGCACTACTCATTTGGGTTCATCACTGGTCACTTGCTGGGTGACACTAAATGCCATCTCGACTCTCACTGTCCCTTAAGACGGCGATGCTAAGGTACATCGCACATTTACGATAAAGCTCAACGTCATGCACAGATAGGTTATGAAGAAATAACTAGGTAAGGTAATCAAGACCGTTTTGAGTGTTAACCTAAAGATTGGTAGAAAAAACGGTTCCTCAAGTGGCTTACTAGGATGCAGTTGAAGCTCACTGGTCTCATATTCACCAGACCTTACTAGCAGCAGGAAAATCCTCATGTGGTGTCTAATCGCCAACATGGACATTGGGTCTCTTCACAGTCTCTGGAACTTATAGATGCTCGCCGGCATATTCCGGCTAGAAGCGAACACAATGAAACTCGCAAAGAGCTCCGGGCAAAACTCCGTGCTAACCTGAAGAGAGGCCGCGAATCCTGGTGGTCTAATCGTGCATCAGAGATGGAAATGGCCGCTGCCCTTGGTAACCATCGTAAGTTATTCCGTCTGATACGGGAAATAGGCAGCAGGAGACCTGGTGTTGGTGAAACTATACGTGATGAGAGTGGACAGCCTATCCACAACTTATAAAAACACATAGAGCGCTGGGCTGAGCACTTTAAAAGGCAATTTAATCGTCCGAAAATGTCAGATTTCTCGCCGACCAGTGATCGCCCCACTCCCTGGGCTGTCCCTTTGGATCTACCCTCTCGTTCAGAAGTCGAACGTGAGAGCACACTGTTGAAGTTCAATAAAGCCGCGGGACCTGATGACCTTCCTCCAGCCCTCTTCAAATTCGGGGGACCTGCTCTTATGGATGATTTACACGAGTTACTAGTCAAACTACGAGAGCAGGAAACTGTCCCAACCGATTTTAGCCGCTCCGTCATAGTCCAAATTTTCAAAGGAGGCTCACGATCGGAATGCGGCAGCCATAGAGGAATCAGTCTGATCTCCATCGCCTCCAAACTGCTTGCGTCTGTCATCCTTCACAGACTGACTGGCACTCGTGAAAGCCAGATTCGTGAAGAGCAAGCTGGATTTCCTCGAGGTCGTGGCTGCATTGACCACATCTTCACATTGCGTCAGTTGTTGGAGCACCGTCACATATACTGGCGGCCCACCATTGTCGTGTTCCTCGATATCAAAGATGCATTCGATTCGGTGGATAGACATGCACGTTGGGACTGTCTACTCAGGAGAGGTGTGCCCGAGAAATATGTGAATATTATCCGAGCATTATATGCGCGTAGCTCGGGCACAGTGAGGGCTTACGGCAAGCTGTCGTCGCCCTTTAATATCTCCAGCGGCGTGAGACAAGGATGCCCGCTATCACCTTTCCTCTTCAACTTCGCTGTTGACGTAGTCATGGAAATCGCGTTTACAGGACACGACTTTGAAGGTGTGGAGCTACTCCCAGGAGAACGACTTCTTGACCTAGAGTATGCTGATGATATTGTGACAGCTCACAAATGTGTCAAGCGGCACTGGACAGATTAGCACTAGCTGTTCGTCACTTCGGGCTTTGCTTCGCACCCTCGAAATGCAAAGCGTTCCTTCAAGATTGGTCTGGACCGCCCCCTACGCTGACCGTTGACGGGGATCAGCTAGAAGTCGTTCAAAAATTCAACTACCTGGGAAGTTGTATCAGCGCCCGTGGGATTGAAGATGAAATCACGAACCGTATAGAAAAAGCTCGGGGCGCTTTTGCTAACCTTCGCCACTTATGGCGCCGGCGCGACATCACTCTTGCCCTAAAGGGTAGAGTGTACAATGCAGCAGTACGTTCGACCCTACTGTACGGTTGTGAAACCTGGCCGCTTAAAGCAGCGGACCTGAAGAGGCTAGTTACGTTCGACCACCGGTGCCTTCGTAATTTAGCTCACATCTGGTGGGAACACCGCGTGAGCAACGAGCGTGTCCGACGCCTTGTTTATGGCACAGGAAAAGGAACTGAACCGCTCAGCACCGTTATTTCATGCACCAGGCTCCGATGGCTCGGCCACGTGTTACGCATGCCAGCCCACCGACTCCCGCGACGTGCGTTGTTTGCGGGCCGAGGGTGTGGATGGAAAAAGAGGAGGGGTGGCCAAGCGATGACTTGGTCCAAAGGAACGAAGGCCCTCACTTCTGAGCTGGCCTCGGCTCCCTGGTTGGGGTCCGAAAGACGATGAACACGTTTGTTTGGACACACTTGCTGATATGGCTAGGAGCCGACCTCAGTGGCGTTCGTGCTGTGAGTTTCTTTGTCCCACCCCATCCCTCTTAGCCTCCCCCTCCAACCACGATCTCATTATTTAATCTTTTATAATTTTGCATAGTAATTTTTTTGATGCATAGTAGCCGGCTGGCAGCTTACCGGAACGATGCCCATCCGTTACCGGTAGCTCAGCCGGCTTGCCTCAATTGAATTCTTTTTTCTCTCCTTTTTCTGTGTATTACGGCACAGTAGCTGAGGTGTTCCCCACCTCTAGCTAACGTGTATGATGATGATGACACCTCCTGCAGACACTAGACAAAACTAGAGATGTCAACAAAAATACTAGCATATGTACAAATGGAAGCTAACTACAATCAGTTATAGGTATGGGATATACTTCTCTGATACCGCTCTGCACACCCATGTACGCATGACTAGCACGCCTATACTGAAGGAAAAGACTTACAGACGGATTTATGCGTGTTTCAATCAAATAGTGTTAATATGGTGCCACCCTACTATTCACGCGATTTCGTATGAGTTGGAATGAGCGGACACGATTTCGCCCCAAAAGTAGATCATAGATCGGTAGCGGCCTTCAAAAGTCTATAAGGAGAAGCATAATTGGTGAAAAGTGTTTCCAGTCACGTGAAGAAAGATATGCCGAGTTCATTGGCTAAGGTAGACGCGCAACAGGCCCAGTATCGGATGTAAATGCCGAAACAGCAGAAAATAGATTTGTCGATTCTTACTGCAGTGGGCAGCAAGTGGACTGCATTAATGACGTTCATTAGAATCAGAAGTCAAATCGAGCACTGAAGACTAAAAAAGTCTTAACGGCAAGACATCTGCATATTTTAGAGCCCATTGGAAGAGGAGAAAAACTTATAGACTTCACATGTCTGTATCAGCAATACAAACCTAGGGTTCATAGATTAGAAGTCTGAAGCGCTGGCTAGGGATCGATATGAAAGACTGAAACCTGGTATCCAGTGTGCCGTAGGTCTTGTGCGAGAGGATGCTTAATGGTTCTCCGATCTGGATCAGCTCGGGGAACAGTCAAAAATCATCTCTACACCGAGTCATGATTATTCGCAAAAATGCAAGATCCTGTGCGATAGTAGCAACAACGGACCGTGGGATGACTTTTAGACAGTAAAGTGAGAAGTTGATTCCTTAGGCAAGCGAACAAACAACAGCACTAATGACAACAGCATATTAGTACGTTGTATTTTTGATTCCGACATGGGGTAAACAGGGAACAGAATCGTCGTCATCAAATGTTAAACCAAATGGAAGTAATTGATCACCAATGCCGAAAATCCGGAGGACAAGTAATGACAGTCTGCAGCAAATCAACTTACGAATAAATTAGATTTTCTTCGGTTTTTACGAGAATGAGTTGGAGTACTGCTTGGCGTAAGGGAATCATTCGTCTCACCTTTCGTTTCCTAGAAAAAGGTGGACAGATGAATGCAAAACAGGGAATAAGAGGCAACACGAAAAGAATAAGTGAGGTGAAGAAGTAAGTTAATTGGCAGAAACATTCGAACAGATATCATGCGTGCCATTACAGGCTACTGAATTTGCCCCTATGTAGATACAGGTGCAAGAGCAGACCAGTATCAAATTGGCTCATGCGAATGAGTTCAAGAAAGAATAAAGGCAAATGAGGAGCAAATCAAAAGAAGACGAATTAGCAGCTCGATTTCAGCGAATAACCGATTATGGAGCAGGGTCCCAGTTGCGTGCACATGCAGCCCTTTCCGGTCAACTCACAGTGACTTCACCGCTTAGCCCAATAGAAGACACGCTCCCAGTGGTGATGGGATTGGACGGGGAATACAAATGTGATGGAGGAAGCTGAAGGGGTGAGCATTCTGGATGTTCTAAGGGAGCCATGTCGGGTGTAGGAGCGAACTCATCCAAACGAGTATGATCGCTCAGGAGTGCAGAAGCAGATAGCTTAGGAACGCGGGCATTATACTCCGAATAAGTGTGATGTGTCGTCAGATTGTGTACCACACTTTCTGAGTAGTCTGAAGGCACACATTCGGAGCGGTGGATGACGAGCTGAAGCTGTCCATCTAGTTTAAAAGGATGCGTGGCCCAATCTTCAGCAGAGTCGGTAGTCAAACAAAAACGCCTTCCACGACTTGCTGTCAAATCCACACCTAACCGATCCACCTCACAAGCAGATTTCACATCGAGAGTTTGAAACAGTCTTTGGCTAGTATCAACGGTCATGCAGCCTGGTAAACTTGCAGCAAATGCGGCAGATAATGTTTGACTAGAGTGATAGTCCTGTAGAAGTTGGAAACAAACGTATCGTAGAAGATGTAGGCACAAAATCGAAACACTACATGTGGAAAATTATGTACAGTAAATCAGACAGGAAGGCTTCAGAGTAAAACTAAGTGATTAGGTAATACATCAGTACGTTGTACTGGTATCATGCGGTAATAAAAATGTAAGCTATGAGAGATAATCTTACTGAGAACAAGAAAAATAAAGTTAGGGTTTAAAAAGGGGGCACCAGCAGTATGTCGGTACTGCGTACCGATGCTTCGCTGCCGTTCAACCACCATCAGTCGCAGGCGGGCCAAGGATACGGCGAGGGTTGCCCGGTCCCTACGCAGGGTCAGTGGCCGAGTGGTATGCACGTCAGGTTTGCGACCATAAGTCACCGGTTCGAATCCGCGTAGGGGCGGGCGTCCTCGCGGTATACTCAGCCCCCGCGCGACTGGTGGTGGTTGCGTGGCAGCGAAGCGCCGTTAGGGCGTACAGCTGGCGATTTGCTTTTTGTTTTTGGTCCATGTGCAGGTTCGAACTCGCACCTTAGGATTATAAGGTAGGCTTGTGTTCATGAAGGCTACGGGTCGGCTAGTGAGGGTTTAAGGGAACACCCAAATTCCCCTTAAAGTGAAGGTTTAAGGGGATTTTAGGTGTCCTAAGCGACTAGTTCGGAACAATGTGTCAACATCTGCAATAGAATACGGTCACAAGTGGCTGCATATAGTGCAAAGAGAAGACAACATCCGCGGGACGGTTACCTTATGAGTCAGACTGACTTCTGTCCACGTAGAGGGTGCACTGACCACTATGTACTTTTCGATAAGAGCTTGAACGTCACCCTTCTTATAAACAGCCTAGAAGGACAACCATTCTCCACTGGAAGTCTACTTTCGGTTCCAGTGATTGCACCCGTTTGCGGTGGCGTCTATTTGCAGGGCATGTCTGAGGAATGCCTCTCGTGTTCTACAGGTAAGTCTCACGAGTTCAGTGCGAAAAATACAGTGCATCAACGCCGCCCAAGTTCTCCATTTGCCTTCAACTTTGCGATCGAAATAGGCATGAACGACTCTTCACCTTCCCCTCACTTCCTTGGGGTCAATCTTCCGTTCGACAATTAAATGTCAAACCTAGGATATACGAAGAATTCACTTTGGATCAGCCGCAGCTGCGATGTAAACGCAACTGAACAGGCTGATGTGTACTCCCGCACACTTAGTTATGTGGTCTGAACCTTTTTAATGCGCAGTGTGCTGTTACAAGGCTGAGTCGACTCACCACCGATTCGCACTATCGACGAACAACAGGTTGAAGTCATCGATCGGTTTTCTGAGCTTGAAAAGCTGTCACCTCTGATGGTTACATTACCGTGTAACTTCGCTAAATTTCGGGGACTCTTGGAGACGGTGGATTGTGAACGTGTTAGTTAAGGGAGGGTTACTATGTTGCGGAGCGACCAATGTAACTGTATGGATCAGACTTGGTCGCTGCGTGAGAAAGACGTTAAGAAAATGAGTGTTTGACTACCCCTGCCTGTGAAGCATTGATGAGTGGTGGTGTCTGGTGACAGGCCCTCAGGTGCCTCACTCGAGTGTCTGTTGTACCGGGGTCGTCTTTCCTGACTCAGTCATGTGTTCCACACGCGCACCAGCCAAGTGATTCGGCATGCATTGCTTAGCAATACTGAAACTAGTTAGGTGAAACCCAGGAGTAGCCAGTCGATAACATGGAAAAATAGCATGATGAAACTCACCGAAAGGCTGAGTTTGGTTTGTGCTAGTCGTTTTTTCAAGACGGGGTCCTTGGGATAAACTACATTAGTGGTCAGATACCGTATCGAATATGACTTGTTAACGTGGTCAGTGGCGCCCTTGCATTCGTTCCCTCACTTTAGACTCCTGATTTGCGAAGCTGATGATCTAAATTTTGTACAAACCTCTTACTTTATTATTATTATTACCATTTGGTGCAGGGTTTAAGACTGAAAATCTGAACTGATATGAATCCACTAAAAATGTGCCCTACCACAGATCCAGTGGAAAAGTATGATCCCCGTTTGTGACAAGTGCCAAGACTTGCTTGGTTGCATTGGATGATAGATGATCAACGTGCACATAGTTTGCCCGCATTTCGTGGTTGCAGATAGGCTGATACTAATCGACGCTAAAGCTGGTCAAAGATTTGTAAGGTGCATTTGGCCATCCGATCGAGAGTAGTCATGTAACAAAGCTGCGTATGAAGGTTAAGCACACTGAACGTGTGGAGAAATTCCAAAATGAAGTTCCCCAAAGAGTGTCACAAAATCGTAAGGTAGCGCAGGATTAGTTGTTGAAGACCAACGGGCAGAGATCAAGACAGTTCATTCGGTGCGTCAGACAGATACCAGAAATGACTAGTGCATATTGGTAATCAAAGACAGATACTCTCTTGATACTTGTGATATGTGTAATAGTTATGATTCTTTCAGTAACACTGCTCGCACTGGAGCATTACACACACTGTCTCAAGTCGATAACCTGAGAGTCCGCAGCGTCCACAGGCAAATAAAAAGAGAAAAGCCACAAAGGTCTTATCGATGCACGAAGTGCGCGGAGAGAACTATTCCAAATAACTGATTGGTGACAGCGAAAATTGGTGGGATGCGAGCCCAATACTATGGTTGAACTTTCTGCAGACCGGTGCGAAGTACAAATATACGATCAATGCATCATCCAATGGAGAGAAAACTTATTTGATTTCCAGTGAATTGGAGCACACAAGAGTAGGTGCATCGTCAAAGAGTGACGGCTGTATGAAAGCTATAGACACCAAAAACAAGGCTAATGCTTCGGCTAGTTAGTGTAATAACTGAGGTCCACCTCCAAGTAAACCGAGATCAAAATTGAGAGTGGGTATCACAATTTAAACAAAATGGTGAGTACTGCAAGTCTCAACATTGAACTCCCAACCGCTGTGGCAAGCGTTGCTCGTGGATCTCAGTAGCTTGGTGACTAATGTGTCAGCCGGCAACCCCTAAGTCCCGGATCCCACTCCCATTTCCGGATATTTTTAATTGATAAGTCCAAAAGGCGAATTTGGTTAGAGAACGCAGACCTGAGAGTAAGCAAGGCCGAAAACTCTCCGTATGTCTTATGACCCTTTCTGCTGAGAGAGCGGTCGGAAATTGATAGACTGAGGGGCTGTCCACAGAGCGCAATACATTGCTGAGGTGTCAACACCGGCTGAAGAGCGAAGGACCCAGCCGTCGTAACCTATCAACATGATATTAATCAATAAAAGTAGCGGGAAGTGAGCGCAAGAACCCAGACATAAGGAAAAAACAAGGAGTTGTAACTACTGGGTGGAAAACGAACAGTTAGAGTCAAGATCCGCATGTGAGGGCCTTGCTGAATTCTCGACTCTCCCGTCCGGTTTGGTTAAATAAATACGACTTAAACATCGAGGTGCGAGAGATCTAGGATATATGCAAACAGGGTCTTAAAAAGTTAACAAATTAAGAAAAATGAGGGAAAATGCAAAAAAAGTAACTAAGACAGCGGTTAAAAGACAGGATTGAAGAATAATGCAGAAGCGACGTACATCCTGCAACTGAAACTGATATCCAGATTTCTAGGTACGGTTACGGGAAGACACAAAGTACTAACCAGATATGATCTCTTGGTAAAGTTTAGTGTGTCCGTTTTCCATATCATCGGTTTTACAGAGTAATACTCGAAACAATATGAGGGAAGTGAAAATGGTGCAACTTGAGAGGAGCTCGGTCAGCAGTCGCATGAGAAATATGGTCTAGATAAGCGTAGGCTGCTCAGGTGTAAAGTGGGGCAAATGCTGTTCGATGGAATTTACTACCAGACAGCATCATTGCGCTTTGGGTCTTCCAATTAGATGACAGCAATGACTCAAAGACATCTAAGCTAAAGGAAACAAATATCCGAATGTACTCAATGCGCGGTGGGTAGGTCTACGATCCACACAGAAACAATGGAGAAGCTGAGATATTGTATACTCAGCATTTATTCGACAGGCTGATATCATGGTCACTCCGTTTTTGAGGATATTAAAAGCGAAAGCAGGTTTCCTGAGTCGTGCAGCAACTAGTTCTGTGACTCAAACAACGACAGCGACACAGCAAACAATATAGGTAAGCGAGCAAAGCACT